CCCTCTCTCTCTCTACATCGCCCACAAACTCGTCCTAGTGACATAATTCTCTTCCTTGAAAACTCTTGAATAATTTTAGAACCTCTAACTAAAAGATTATATCGGTTTTTAATTAAAACTCGAGGTAAGACGAAAACCATTCACGAATCTTTACCATCATTAATTTTTATTACATCCGATAACATTTATTAAATTCGATCATACATTATAATTTCAGATATAGAGATGGTTAGACTTTATAATTAGTTTAGCCAAGAAAAAGAATTTAATTTTTTACGACAAAGAAAAGAAAGATTCAGAGAAAAAAAAATCAGTTTACTTAACTTGCACGAAATTACAGCTAAATGATCTCATCGTCTATGCAATTATAATAATTACATATTACACAAATGCAACTTTATTCACGTGCGCGAAGCGAAGGAGATACATTACTCCCTCCCAGATTTAACGAACTTATCGTAAGTATCAGCGTAGTTCCCACGCGAACTGCCTGTCTCTCGATAGGTGACGATAGATAGACACTTAATGAGCAGTGTAATTAACAGTTCCGGCGCACTACAGGTGTCATCTGCATGATTCCCTAGCACGCGCGACGACACCTCCCGTGGAGAGTGATCGACGATTGCCGGCGCGGCGCGGTGGTACCGCGAATGCAAGCGAACACGTATGGAATGCAGCAGCATGCATCGCGCACGCATCACTTACTCACCGACAAGCTCCGTACGCACGCCCACCAGGAGAGTGGTCACTACCAGAAGGGGCACCTGTCGTCGGCGCGGGCACAGAACGGCACGTTTCTCACCCATGACCATAGGTATAATAGTTGCACGTATGGCCGCACGCGTGTGGCGCGACACGAAGGTAACCGCTGCCGCGTTCAGACTGAACTCCCGACCTGCCGCGAGGCTACGTACATCCGACGCGCACGAGGCGAGTCACCCCTTCCCCCTCCACCCTTCGCGTTCCTCCTCGTCTCATCCTCCTCCCGTTCTCTTCTATTCTGCCCCTCCCCCCCTCCTTCCATCGCTATCGTATCGCACGTACCGTCGCGCGTGCGAGCGAGACCAACCGGAGGGGTTGTGCTCCGTTCCGACCAGCGCGCCGTTCATCCCTACTACACACAACGGCCCACACCGTTCATCCCTCTTCGACGTGCCGTGACGCTGCCGCGAGGGGGATGAGACCCCCTCGTCACGGGGCACCACTCGCCACTCGCGCCAACGCTCCCTTAACCGGCCGACTGGTCGGCTGACTGGCTGGCTGGTTGGCTGGTTGGCTCACTCGCCGAATGCGCGTGGCGAGCTTTGCTTTGAGTTACGCTGACATACCTGGATTTACTTAGAGCCTCGTGATTACGGCGGGACCAGAGTGCTTGGTGTTGAGCCTCCTCTCGCAGTTGGACTTATTTCACGCGTCGCTACAGGTGAGCCGTTTACTTTCTCGACGCGTTGCGCTGCCTGCGTTAAGACCGGGACGCAAGAAAATATATAGAACGAAACAGCATTCTAATGTTGTATCTTAAAATCAGCCAGTAGGAATTAATTTATTATTTATTATTTAATACAATATAAATGTGACAACAAATGTTGTGTTTGTCATTCTTCAATAAGATTCTTAACTGTTACCGATTGATATTAAAATTATAATATGAATTATTTATAATACGACATAATATGAAAATTATTTTTTATGAATTCCCTATGTGAGAGAAATAATAGATAAAAATGGAATATTATTAAATATTAAATATGGTATTAAACATAGTAAAACAATAAGAAAAATAGGGAGTTTTTGCAATACCGTTTATCCGTTTATATATAAATACGGTGAACGCTAAGATCAGATTATCTTCTTCTTAATAACTAAAAAAAAAGGATAACGTGATTTTAGGGTTTGGATTCACATTGTTACAAAAACTCTCTTATTCAAAAGGAAGAATAGGATAGGGCTGATATTTTTGTCGAAAATAGAAATGGATAAGATAATAATTTCAGGAAGCAATCAATCAAGATGCCAATGTGTCAAAACAAAGGAAGTCTGATAATAAAGTTTGAGTAGAAAGAAGGAAGATATCACGAATAAAGCGACTGAAATTTGAGAGATTATTTTAATAATCTGATTTATAACGCCCAAAGTTCAACGATATCTTCTCACAGGCACGCACAGCGCGTGATGTTTATAATTCAAGTTAAATTATATTTACTTTGCTGAAGCGTGGCCTCTTCGTGTGGAGAGAAACACAAGTGTGGAATATTTGCGTAGCGCGATGCAGCGCGAAATGATTTAAATTCTACGCTCCGACATCTCTTCTCTAGTCTTGATACTCTTGGCAGTTGCATAAGAACGGGGAATCGATGCCACTCTACGCGATAAAACATTCAAATCCAAAAGGAGAGTTCCCTGTGATGCGAACACAAACAAAGAGAGTCCCTTCAAAGAATAGGGCACGTAAGTGGACTACCCAGCAACGAGGAGTTTGCTCTTTGAAGTTACATTATATTTACTCAACGTACCTCAATCGCTGTGAAATAAAAATTAAAATGTATTTTTGGACACAATCGAAACATGATATATCAATATAATATAATAGAATAAAATATTATTAAATAATTTAAATAAATCTGTCATTATTATCTGATTCTGATCTTCGAGTTATTTAATATGAAAATTGCTTTTAATAATATTATGATAAAATTGGATGAGACTGCACTTAATTAATTATAAGTTATTAAAAATAAGAATATTAATTTCGATTGCATGTTATTTTTAATACATTTTTGATTGCTTGAAAATGTTATTTAAGCCGTTATACATATGTATTCGATTAATTAATATTTTATTATCTAGATAATTATTACATTTTTTGCTGTTGAGGTCGATTATTAATTAACCTACACTTTTCGAAAAATGACAGTAAAGAAAATACATAATATATTTGTAGAAAATATAATTGTGCATTTGATTTAATACACAAACAGAACATTTTGCTGAAGTATTAAAAAATTTAACTGAATTTAAAAATAATTTTATTGGACCATCGAAATTTATATAGAACCCTCGCGAGTTGGGTGGTCCCTAGAATGCTCAAACTTTTTGAAGCATTACAGCTCATTATATGTTTGAGCTTCATACATAATTATTTTGATAGTCCAACAAAATTATTTTTAAATCTGTATCTACCTATGTATATTTTGACTACAGCAAGTAAAAATTTTAACACATGTACACACAATCGGCTCGCTCTATTTGAATTATAGTCGCTGTAGACTATAGATACTCCAGTTGCTGGAGTATTCAAACTGAAATACAATATAATGCGTTCGACAACTTCAACTGCTCACGGTAGAATTGCGCGCTTCTCTCTTGATCAAGTTGAATGATGCTAGGCGGAAGGAAGAAATGTATAAAATCGGAAGTTAGTTTTTTTACATCAGAGATTTGTATATTCTACTTAAATTGCCCTGGAAACCATATTGATCATATAACTACGAAAAACTATTCCGAGCGCATTCGATAAAGAAACCTGATTGAGTAATTGGAAAAACAGACAAACGCGAAATTTGTAGACTATCGATTTCCGTACACGGATTGGAGGACCAGTCCTCCTGGAGATTGCGTGATCGCAGTCAAAAGTAGATTATTGCAAAACTTCGTCCTACCGCTTTGGTAGATACGGAAGGTACAATCGGAGAGCGTTTTAGGCCAAAGACGTCGTATTACGTAATTCAAAAGGTCCGCCCGCGCACACACTGCGTGCTAGCAACAACCAAGTGATGTACGATCCAACGAAACGTGCATGAAGGACACTGTATCACTGGGTCCGATGATATATCCCCTTCAACACAGCCTCGAAACTCCTCGGCAAGCATACAACAGCGCAGCTCTCTCCGGCTCCTCGGCTCTTCTGACTGCTGTACAGCCAATGTCGCTCGATTACACACATCGTCAATCCGCCTCGAGGCACCTCAAGTTACCCGATGTGTTATACACATGCGTCTGTGATACTCCGTGCGCGGCCGAACAAGTCTGACATCTGACTATTGCACGCATGATATCTGCTGGCGCGCATAAAATGCCGTTATGTAAATTCTCACACGCGCGGAGAACGCCCCGCGAAAGTGTAGCGAAATGTAGTCTCACGTGTACATTGTCCGAGAACGAGGAGCCACTATATATTATACACACACACACACACACACACACACACACATATGGTATATGGGAATCTGTATAGCCGTGATATTTGCATTAATTTAATTCGTATTTGCATTTGCACTCGACCAGTCGTGATTTCGAAGGTTTTGTCTGGCAGAAATCGCCATCAATTATTAAGACAGCTTGGGTACATTATGTGCCAGGCTTTGCTAATTGCAAGACAAGATAATATACATTAAATAAAGAACGCGCGGACTATAAAGAAAGAATTGAAAGAACTAAAGAAGTATTAATTTATTCAAATGTATCAATACTTGGTCTCGAAATATTGCAAAATCGTTTTTCACATTTTCCGCAATTTCTATGCAAACCGGCGGACGATAATCGATGGCTCAATTTCGTCTCTACCTTCCGTCAGACCGAAGACAATGGCTATCCGTTTTTCCGACAAATTTTTCCCACTACCCTCTCGTGTCGCTGCGCTTTGGCGTGTCCTCCGGCTCAGTGATCGCTACGCGGTAAAAATTTATCGTGGAAAATTGAAGTGCCACGGAATAATTGCTCGATCAGAAGCGATCGAGATTCCAGATAGCAAGCCCCAAACGATCGAGCCACGCGATAGAGCCCGGCTCCGATTATTGCGTGCTTTTCTGTGCCCTCTAGATCGAAGTACGAGGACTTACGAAACTGCAACCGACCTTGTCGATTACGATATTCCGTATAAACTTTTAATTTTTAGCCCTCAGCCGCTATCAATCGTTTCGATAATAATTTAATATTA